TTCCAGAAAAACTTGCCAGCTGTCTACACTGGCCGCTTGAATTTCCGCAAAAGCACTGACTTCCTACTGTAAGAAATCAGTGCTTCTTGCGGAAATACTATTCTGCTCCCATTTGGGCAAAAGTCCCTTTTGCACAAAAGGGCAGGTGTAGACAGCTCAGATTTGTTTTCCGCAAAAAAGCCCCGATCGCGAAAATGGCGATCGGGGCTTTTTTTGCGGAAAAGCGCGTCTAGATTGGCACGGAACGCTTTTCCGCAAAAAGTGCTTTTGCAGAAAAGCGTCCGTGTCAATCTAGACGCTCTGGTCCGAAAATGCTTTTAACGGAAAACTTTTCCGTTAAAAGCATTTCCGGAAAATCATGCCAGTCTAGACGCAGCCGTAGGGAAAAAGCTATGTGGACTGAAACCAGCAGAATCTAGCACCAGGAACCAAAAATGGCTCATGGGCCACACATAGCTCCCCAATGGGCCGCATGTGGAGTTGCCCACCACGATTCAAAGGCTACAGGCTCCGAGCACTTTGTGCTGGGACTGGGGGGAGCGGGTGGAAAGGAGCAATTGAAAGGATAATGAAATGCACTAAGTTATAGTTTGCCGTGTCTGTTGCAGTAGATTGAGGCCCCACCGTGCCAGGTGCTGCACACACAGTGGCCCTGTCCTGACAAGCTCACAGTCTAGACCAGCCAACCAATGGGTGAAACGCAGTAACCTCCCCGGGAATTGAAATTGGGGGGGGGGGTGTTTGAATTTACATGGAGGGGTGCCAGGGCCAATGAGGGGTGAGACCGTGTGGGTGAAGGTGGGCTGTATGGCACCATAGTTCACAAAACTGGGGAATGGGGGTAGGGAAATCTGAGGAATCAACCCCCTTGTGCAGAGGAGGAGCTGAAGCAAAGTGATTGTGTTTTGGGCTGGGGGGAGGGGGGGGCTGGTACAATTTTTGCAGTGGGAGTGTTGAGAACCCTCGGCCCAAACTGTAAACCCTGTTTATAGTGGAAACCACGTCAAGCTGGGGTGTGTGTGGCAGTTCCAGCACCTATCGCTAGAGGATCCTACCCACCAGACAAGCAGCATTAATGAAGCAGAGCTTGAGTGTTCTCCACATAAAAAAAAAAAAAATCTCTAAATTTGTATGTGAACTAACAGGGAGTATTTGGGGAAGGTTTTTTTTTCACAGTGAGGTCTTGAGTGGTGTGTGTTGGAGAGGTGTGGAGAGGGCAGGGTGCATTATTATATGTTGGGGATTATTGTGGTTTTCCCTCCCGTGGTGTCCCAAGTTTCCATGCTGAACATCTGAAACCTGTCTGGGTCCATGTCTGTTGCTGAACTAAGCCTTTTCTTTCCACTCAGCACGGGACACAGGTGTGGTGGAATTCAACTTCATTTCTAATCTCACCGTTTATTATGTTCTCATTTACATGATCAATTTAAAATGTTCACAGTTGCGGGAGATGAGGTGGAGCAGGAGGGCGCGAATGAGCCAATTCTTGAATGACAGACGACATTCAAAAAAGTTACAACCATTAAAACACAAGCGCTCAACAGCATCCCTTAAATCCACACGGGACAGAGCCCTCTACTCCAATAACGTCTCAGGCAGCGTTTTTTCGTACGTCGTGTATCTGTAAACGTCAATGATCATCAATGGAAATATGTCCTCCCCAGTTTGTGTGGGTACCGTGAAATTGACATGTACAGATACAAACTGCTAATCCTGCCAAGCCTAGCGATGCACTTGCTGCACAGAGCTGCGCACTGGCTGGGTTAGATGAATTAAGCCCCGTGACTTCAGTGCGGGCCCCAGGATGACTTTTATCGGACAAGGAAAGGCCTGAACGAGCTACCTAAGGGTTAGCTACACTCCCCTCTCCCCCTACACTCGGTGCTGGAGGGGGAGGCCAGTTATTCCTGGGGAGCCCCATTAGCGAAGGGCTTGTCCCGGTGAAGAACACTGTGACCATTGCTCAGTTGGGGTTTCATTCCCCCTGGACAAACTGTACATCGTTTTTATAGCATTTGCCTTCAGAACGGACGGGAACTCAGCTCCAGCCAGCCACCTGCTTGTAACGTGGTGGCACTCGAAGGACCTCGCTCAGTGGAGGAAGATAGCTTGGCTTGGGGGGGGGGGGAGCAGGGAGAGTGAAAGTTGTGTGCACAGAGAGTGACTGGACACTGCGTAACTGACCCCGTGTCACCCAGGACTCCTTAATGAGTTTGTTTTGAATGGCATGAGCGGTATTTAATACAGTCGGAGGCCCCCAGATTTCCAGGGATTAGCTCTAAGAGGGCACATATCAACCCACAGCCCAGGATTAGACTAAACAGGGATTAGCTCTAAGAGGGCACATATCAACCCGCAGCCCAGGATTAGACTAAATCTGCCTACGATGACACCTCCCCGGGAGAGATGCAGGAGTGGGGTGAGGGCAGGAGAAATGCAACCAGACCCGGGGTGCTGGAAGGAGACAGATGGCCGGCTCGGCACTGTCCCTCCAAGAAGCTTCTTGAGGGTGTGGCCCCTGACCACGTAGCTGCCAAACCTGCAGTGTAGGAAGGCCCAGGCCCCTGGCTCATCTGGAGCAGTGCCTGGTGGGCTGAACAAGGGGCTGGCTGGCACAGGGCTCAGGTTAGCTGGGAGCCCCTTTAGCAGACACCTGTAGGATGGCTGTCGGCTAACAGCACCTCTCTCCAACCCATGGACTTTGGAGGGGTTTTCCATAGGGCAGGGTGCTGGCTTCGGGTAGCCAGAGGACAAGGAGGGGTTTCTAGGCAGGTCCCACATCTGTGCCTGCTCTTCGAGGGGCTGAAAGCATGGGCAGGGGGGCAGAGCAGTTTCCTGAGCTGGATTTCGCACAGCCGGGCCAGCCCTTTGCCCCTGGGAGCTGTGGCGGAGCAGGGGCCACGGTGATGGACGGTCAGGCCTGAGCTAGTGGATCGGTTGTGGTGTTTAGCCGTCCAATGCAGTGTAGCGCGTGTGTGATCCGTGTCCAATGCTGTACGTGTGGACTTTCTAAAACTCCTTAATAAAAGGAACTCGTCACGCCGTCTGTCTTGCGTCTGGGTCTCCATCCTCCTCCCATTGAGCCCCTGGGCCTGGCCTAGGCTACTCCCCCGGGACCCTTGGGAGCCGGCGCCTCCTGTGCTCAGGGCAGCCGCCGGCAGGGAACGCTGCTCGCGTTAAGGAGAAATGGGTTTGCCGAGCAGCGCTCACAGTACCAGCTGCTGCCTACCTGCCCCCTTCATGCCAGCCCCAGCGAGGGCTGCACCGAGGTAGCTTTCTGCTGCCCACAACCAGTGTCCCCCAGGGCCCTGCGCCTAGCTAGCACGCCTGAAGTCCTTCCCCCATACGGCCCTGGCATTGAACTTGCTGGGACCCACCGGCTGCCCCTTGGCCGCTGCTTGGGGAGAGGAGCAGCCTCACAGAGGCGGCTGCACCAGCGCATTTGCTTTTGTGACTGTCGAAGCCTCTGTCCTTCAGAGGGGGAGGGTTCACGTCGAGGGAGCGCCCCTCCTCCCGCTGAGCACAGCTGAAGCAGATACAGCGTCACGTAGCAGCTAAGCGGCTGGCTCTGAATTCGATACCACCCTTAGGCTTAGCCCTCATGGGAGGATTTCCAACCCATCACCAAAACAAGCCCCTCTGATGCACTGGTCAATGTTAACATCCCTGCGCTACAGCAGGGGAAACCGAGGCACGAAGAGCCAGTGGCAGACAGGGGAACAAAGCTCAGGGGTTCCTGGCTTCCAGGCCCACGTTTGTGCCTGGTCCAAGAGGTTTCCAAACTTTTCGGCATCACACCCCCTTTTTGATTTTTGAGAAACTTTCACACCCTCTTCTCCAAAAATAGCAGCAAAACTTGGGGTGGGATTGATGGGGGGGTGGAGCTGGGTCGCCTCGCGCCCCCGCACTTTGGGAACCTGTGCACTAGACGATGCTGCCAGAAGAGTGGCTGGTAACTCCCACCCTGCCCCACAGACTTGGGGAAAGAAATATATAAACCAGCCTTGGTTTGCTTGGCTGAGCCAGGCGGGAAAAGCAGGAAATAGCCCAAGAGACCAGGGAGCCCACAGAAAATTGTCCACGTCCTTCTTCACCCCTCCCCGCCCAACACCCGCATCCAGTGTCAGGTTCAGGATGTGCATCTGCCAGCCCTGGCTCGCCCCCCACCCCCCAGGGCGCACAGCAGCCGTGTCAGGCAGGGCTGCCCCTGCCGCTCAGCATCTCCCCCTGCAGCCCTTCCCAGCTGGGGTGGGGCTACTGCGGGGAATCCTGCACTGACACTGGATGGGGGAGGAGAGAGGGGAGGGAGGGACTTGGACTATTTTCCTTGGGCTGCTGGGAAGGGTGAATCCCAGCCCAGCTGCCAGGAGGGACGTCAACGAGTTTGCCCGTGAGACACAGACCTGGAAGGGTGGACTGGAGGGCTCCTGCATGAGAGACATTCCCCCCGCTCCCCGCAGCATCCTCCATGCCAGCAAGGTAGGAGCATGTCAGCCAGGGAGCCCCCAAGCTGTCCAGAGACCAGCAGTGGTAGGAGCCTTTTGCATCTTCATGTGGCAAGGCCGTGGAGCCCCTACTGCCGTGCGCCCACTGCCTGGGCCTT